TCTCCCAGCCCCTCCTCTCTCCACAGCCCTCTCCCTCTCCCCAGCCCTCCCAAATCTCACCTCTCTCTGACCCGTCTATCCCCTCTCTCCCACCACAGCCCTCCTCTCTCTCCCTGACCCATCCTCCCCTCTCTCCGTCCTCCCCTCTCACAATCCTCCTCTCTCCCCCCCCCGTCCTCCCCTCCCCAGCCCCGTCCTCCTCTCTCCACAGCCCGTCCTCCCTACTCCCCAGCCGTCTCCTCACACAGCCAGTCCTCCTCTCCCCAGCCCCGTCCTCCTCTCTCCACCTGCCCAAATCCTCCTCTCACCCCTCCTCCCTCTCTCAACAGCCCCTGTCCTCCCTCTCTCTCACACAGCCCTCTACTCTCTCTCACAGACCCCTCCTCCCCTCTCCCCACAGCCAAATCCTCCTCTCCCACACAGCCCGTCCTCCCTCTCTCACCACAGCCCTCCCCTCCTCTCTCACACAACCCCGTCCTCCCCTCTCCCACAGCCTCCCCTCCCCTCTCCCACGGCCACCCTCCTCCCTCTCTCCCCGTCCTCCCCTCTCACAGCCCTTCCCCTCCTCCCTCTCTCTCTGATTGACTGTATCTACTTTAGTGTGTGATGTGGCCATTATTTTTAGGTGTGTGTGTGTGTGTGTGTGTGTGTGTGTGTGTGTGTGTGTGTTGTGTGGTGTGTGTGGAGTGTGTGTGTGTGTGTGTGTGAGGCAGGTGAAGCGCCCACGGTCACCAATGGTCGCCTCAGGTGAAACACTTTCCATTCTCCTGACAGTAATGCAATACTACCCCGCCCCACCCTGCCCACACCACCCCTCACCACACCACCACACCACCAGGTCATGATGTACCTACAGACACTACACTCCAACTTACCACCACAATAACACAACTACCACTATGGTGCGATGGTGTGCTAATAGATGATGATGCCACCGCAACAAACAGAAATTCACTATCACCACTACAGTATAAGGTCACTATCACCACTACGTTATAGGCAGGTCACTATCACCACTACTGGCGGACACTATCACCACTACAGTATAGGCAGGTCACTATCACCACAGTATAAGCAGGTCACTATCACCAATGGCCAGCCACCACCAAGCAGGCATGTCACCACTCACCACTACAGCATAGGCAGGCCACACATCACCACCACAGTATAGGCAGGCCACCATCACCACCCACAGTATAAGGCAGGTCACTATCACCACTATATCCCAGGCGGTCACTATACCACAGATATAGCGGTCCTATCACCACTACCTGCACAGGCAGGTCACTATCACCACCATTATAAGCAGGTCACTATCACCACAATTCATAGGCAGGTCACTATACACCACAAATGACCACAGTATAGGCAGGTCACCATCACCACTACGAAGATCCTTACTCACCAATTTTGACCTGGCAGTACCGGTATAGGAAAGATCCTCACCCACTACGTTGCTGAGCGGGTCACCACTATCACCACTACAGTACTTATAGGCGGGTCACTATACTGACATGGGAAGATCACCATCACACAGTATAGGCATATCGGGGTAGGAGGACTGAACAGGCAGTGATAGTGGTGTAAATGCACTTCCGTCTGCTGTAATCATTTTGAGGTATAAGTTCGAAGGTTTCCTTGGGAGGTGAGGAAGGAGAGGGGTATCATGTTGGGGAACATCATGCCATGTTGGGGAGGGAGACAGGAGATGACGTGAAGTGAGGAAGGAGGAGGAACAAATGGGTGGTGTGGAGTCGATTACTGGGGCGTCAGAGATCAGCCTCCTGACTCAAGCTACACGTTCTGTCTCCCCTGCAGATGTTGTGGCTCCTCCTACCACCTCTGGCTTGGCCTCCTCCTCTTGCCTGCTACAGTCCAGGGCTCTGGCTGGTCGTGTGTTGGATGGCAATGCTTAACTGTATTTCAGGGCCACACCTGTGTGTACCTGTGTGGGAGCCCTACATATATGTCTTTAATAACAAAATACCCCGTACTTGTTAAGTTACCTGTGTACCTGTATTAGAGGCTACACCTGCCTTGCTGTGCTTGTATTGGAAAACACCTGTATACCTGCTGCATTGGGGAGCCCCACACACCTGTGTGTACCTGTAGTGGGGCCACACACCTGGCCAGCCATATCCAGAGCCACACACTGTAGCCCACCTGCTGTCAGAACCTGTGTACCTGTATAGATGGTTTGGAGAGTTAGCAGGAGATCCTGTGGGCACTGACAGGAGGTGTGGAGACACCAGTCAGCGAGAGGTACTGAGTGTGGAGGGTGAAGATGGGAACAGTGTGGTACTGACTCGGTGTGGGAGGCACTGACTGGAGTGTGGAGGAAGGCCTGATGTGAGAATAATGTTATATTGTGGAGGGAGGAGACAGTGTCATGCAGGTGTGGAGGGGGCGTGTGAGATACTGGCTAGGTGTGGAGCAGTGTGGTGCAGTGTGGAGAGAGCAGTGTGGGGGCATGTTATGTGTGGAGGAGCATGGGTGAAGACCATGCTGTGGAGTGGAGGGAGGGCAGTGTGAGTACTAACTGGAGTGTGTGGAGGAGGCTGGTGCCTGGTGTGGAGGCAATGTGGTACTGACAGTGTGGAGCAGTGTGGAAGGTATGTCATTGGGTCAGCATTAAATAAACAGGTAAGTCCAGAACGATAAAAACACAAACCTCTTCAGGTCAAAGCATCAGACTATGCAGAACACACTGTGCCTTATACACAACGAAGGTAATACAGTATACATAGACGGTGCAGGTATACACCAATGTATACCTGTAGAAATGCTGGTATACATAGAGAAACAAACAGCTAACACAATCACCACGTTAACAAGACCGCTCAGTTGCTCATTGTGTTAAGTCTCCCCACGTTCTTTTTCTGTGACCATCGTGGAGTGCTTTTGTGTTTTCCTAGGTGGCGGTGAGGCTATAAAGGTACAGTATGCTGCTTTTCATTCCCCTCCTAACTCTCTCCCCCTCATACACTCCTTACCTGTGTGTGTGTGTGTGTGTGTGTGTGTGTGTGTGTGTGTGTGTGTGTGTGTGTGTGTGTGTGTGTGTGTGTAATTTTACCTACTCTTCATCATTCTCCTCTCTCTCTCTCCTCCGTCTCCCTCATTTTCTATGTATTCTTTCAGTTAATCTCAAAGTATCACCCCTGAGCAGTTGGAATTGGGTTAGGATAGGTTAGTTGGTTAGGTTAGGTTTATATCTGAGTATGGTCTGTCTGTCTGGTTGCCACAGGCAACACCTGGCCACCTGACAGTGACTTCCATAACCTGGCCACCCTGACAGTGGCTTCCATAACCTGGCCTGACAGTGAAGAGCTTCCATAACCTACTGACAGTGAAGAGCTTCCCCAGCCAGCCTGACAGTGAGCTTCCATAACCTGGCCTGACAGTGAAGCTGCGACTCCTGGCCACCCTGACAGTGAAGGCCCATAACCTGGCCTGACGGTGAGCTTCCATAACCTGCCACCCTGACAGTGAAGAGCTTCCATAACCTGGCCTGACAGTGAAGAGCTTCCATAACCTGGACACCCTGACAGTGAAGAGCTTCCATAACCTGGCCACCCCTGCGGTGAAGGCTGGCCACTGACGGTGAAGCTTCCACAACCTGGCCACCCTGACAGTGAAAGCTTCCATAACATACCCCTGACAGTGGCTTCCACAACCTGGCCACCTGACAGTGAACAGCTCCCATAACCTGGCACCCTGACAGTGAAGAGCTTCCATAACCCGCACTGACAGTGAAACCATAACCGCCATGTTCACCCTGACGGTGGCTCCTGTACGGCCCCTGACGGTGAAACCCGTAACCTGGCCACCGACGGTGACTTCCGCATAACCTGTAGCCACCAGAGGAGGCTTCCATGAAGCCACTGACGGAGAAATAACCAGCGACCTGACAGTGGTCTGTGGAGGAGGTGGAGAAGGTGGAGGAAGAGGAGGTGGAGGAGGTGGAGGTAGTGGAGGAGGTAGTGAAGGAGGAGGTAGTGAAGGAGGGGTGGAGGAGGAGGAGGTGGAGGTAGTGGAGGTGGAGGAGGTAGTGAACAGGTTCGGGAGGAGAAGAAAAGGATAGTGAAGGAGGTGAAGAAGTATTTAGTGTCTGGTGGAGTTTAATACTCTAGCACATTCCTAACACTGGAACCTTCCTTCCTTCCTTCCTTCCTTCCTTCCTTCCTCCCTCTTGCCTTAGCTTCACCCTTTCTTTATTTCCTTTCATTTCCCTCCTTCGTTCTCCTCTCTCCCCTTTACTGATCCTCTTTCTTGTCCTTCTTCACTGCTTCCTCTCATTTCTTTCTCCCCTCTTCGTCAAGCTTTGCTCTCTCTCTCTCTCTCTCTCTCACCTCACACACACACACACACACACACACACACCACACACACACACACACACACACACACACACACACACACACACACACGAATATGATGATAAATACCCACAACATTTTTAATTACTTATTATATTTAATTAACGTTTAAATGCCTGAGGAGTGTGTGTGTGTGTGTGTGTGTGTGTATATGTGTGTGTGTTCAGGTGTATACATATATGTGTCTGTGTTGCAGGTGTATACATATATGTGTCTGTGTTGCAGGTGTATACATATATGTGTGTGTGTTGCAGGTGTATACATATATGTGTCTGTGTTGCAGGTGTATACATATATGTGTCTGTGTTGCAGGTGTATACATATATGTGTGTTGCATGTATACATATATGTCTGTGTGTTGCAGGTGTATACATATATGTCTGTGTGTTGCAGGTGTATACATATATGTGTCTGTGTTGCAGGTGTATACATATATGTCTTGTGTTGCAGGTGTATACATATATGTGTGTGTGTTGCAGGTGTATACATATATGTGTCTGTGTTGCAGGTGTATACATATATGTGTCTGTGGTAGGTGTATACATATATGTCTCTTGTGTTGCAGGTGTATACATATATGTGTCTGTGTTGCAGGTGTATACATATATGTGTGTGTTGCAGGTCAGCGCCATCTATGAGGACCTGTCACTGGAGGGTAATTTACAACTGGTTATGCTGAGAATTATTTTCTATAAAGACACCAAGCAATCTCAGGTGAGTCCCCTCACCCCAGTGTGTCCCCCCCCACCCGTGTCCCCCCTGTGTGTCCCCTCCCCTGTGTCCCCCCCCACCGTGCCCCCCCCCCCCCCCCCCCCACCCCCCCACCCCCCCTGTGTGTCCCCACCCCTGTGTGTCCCTCACCCCGTGTGTCCCTCACCCTGTGTGTCCCCTCTGCCTGTGTGTCCCCTCACCCTGTGTGAAAATTGGCGTATATGCAGTGAGGGTGGTATATGGTTGAGTGTTTCAGGTAATGTGAGAGATAGACTTACCTTCACCTTCGCCATCACCACCACCCTCACCCTCTGCATCTCTCCTCATCACCATCACCTTCACCATCACCCTCACCCCTCCCACCTCACCATCACCCTCACCCACACCATCACCCCTCACCATCACTTTCTCACCCACCTGTCACCTCACCCACACCATCACCCTCACCTCCCACCATCACCCTCACCCACACCATCCCCTCACCATCACCCTCACCCACACCATCACCCCTCACCATCACCCTCCCCACCATCACCCTCACCATCACCCTCACCTCCCCTCACCATCCACCCTCACCCTCACCCCACCGTCACCCACCATCCCCGCCCTCACCCTCACCCTCACCATCACCCTCACCCTCACCCACACCCATCACCCATCGCCTCACCCTCACCATCACCCTCACCATCACCCTCTTCCCTCCCTCACCCTCCCCTCACCATCCCATCACCCTCACCATCACCCTCACCATCACCCCTGTCCGCCCTCACCTCACCATCCTCACCATCACCATCACCCTCTGCTCCTGCCACCCCTCACCCCTCACCACCTCCCACCCTCACCATCACCCTCACCCTCCACCCTCCCACCATCACCCTCACCCCTCACCACCGTCACCCACACCATCGCCCTCACCTCACCCCTCACCCATCACCCCTCACCCTCACCCACACCGTCACCCACACCATCGCCCTGCCCTCCCCACCATCCCCTCACCATCACCCCTCACCCTCACCGCTCTGTCCCTCACCCCTCACCCCTCACCATCCACCCATCCTCCCCACCCCTCCCTCCCCCACCTCCCACCATCACCCTCACCCTCACCCCTCACCCTCACCATCACCTCCCACTTAGCTGACATGTGAGCAGGAATCGTGAAAAACTAAACAAATTCCAAGACCTAGACGGCCCCTGCTCAGCCACCCACCTGTAGCACCGCCGCTGTATCCGTCACTAACACTGAGCTGGACGGAAAGCATCACGCACTAAACACACACATTTGATCAACACAGAGTTGGTGTTGTGTTGTGTGGAATGTTGTGGTGTGGTGTTGATAATGCTGTGATATACATAGTATTTTCCATTAACCTGTGGTGTAATGGTCAGCATGCTCGCCTGGCAAGTGAGTGGACCCGGGTTCAATCCCCGGTAGGGTGAAACTATGGGCAATTTCTTTTTGCCATTGCCCTGTCTGCAGGGTAATTGGGAACCTGGATGTTAACCGGTTTTCGGATCATGTTCGGGTAATGGTTAGCCAGTGCAGTTGGAAGTTGTCCGGTCTTCTCGGACTGTTCATGACACTGGTCGTACGCTCGTTAACTTAGGGTGTGGTTGTTGTCCCAGCATTAACCTACCACCTTAAACGCACAGGTCATGCAACTCGTTAACCAGAGATTATTAGCCAGTTTACATTTATTAGTGACAACTTCACATAAACACTGGGTCGTGGCAGCTCGTTAGCAGAATTGTGGTTGTTGTGATATTGACAACCTTAAACACTGGGTCGTATGGCTCGTTAACTTAGGGTTGTGAAGTTTGTTGTGTTAGTGACAGCTTCTACCTTAAACACTGGGTCATGCAGCTCGTTAACAGGGTGTGGTTGTTGTGTTAGTGACAACTCTACACCTTAAACACTGGGTCATATGGCTCATTTAACTCACGGTGTGGTTGTTGTGATGGTGACAGCTCTCACCTTAAACACTGGGTCATACGCTCGTTAGCAGGTGTGGTTGTTGTGTTAGTGACCTTCACCTTAAACACTGGGTCATGCAGCTCGTTAACTCAGGGGTGTAGTTTGTTGTGTTGGCGACAGCTTCTACACCTTAAACACTGGGTCATGTAGCTCGTTAACTCAGGGTGTAGTTGTTAATGATGGTGACAGCTTCACCTTAAACAGATTCATGCAGCTCGTTAACTCCAGAGATTGTGTGGTTGTTGTCAGGTAACGTTAGCTTCTACACCTTAAACACTGGGTCATGCAGCTCGTTAACAGGGTGTGGTTGTTGGCTGTGTTCAGTGACAGCTTCACCTTAAACACTGGGTCGTATGGCTCGTTAACTCCAGGGGTGTGGTTGTTGTGATGGTGACAGCTTCACCACCTTAAACACTGGAACATGCAGCGCTCATTGCTTAGGGTGTGGTTGTTGTGTTGGTGACAGCTACCACCTTAAACACTGGGTCATGCAGCTCGTTACTCCAGAGATTATTGTGGTTGTTGTGTTGGCGACGCCTTCTACTGTAAACACTGGGTCATGTAACAATTAACTCAGGGTGTGGTTGTTTGTGATGGTGACAGCTTCTACACCTTAAACACTGGAGTCATACAGCTAGATTAACTTAGGGGTGTGGTTGTTGTGTTGGCGGCAATACCACCACTGGCTCACTGGGTCGCCGCAGCTCGTTAACTTAGGGTGTGGTTGTTGTGTTGAGCTAGCTTCTACACCTTAAACACTGGTCATGCAACTCGTTAACTTCAGAGATTGTGGTTGTTGTGTTGGCAGCTTATAAACACTGGGTCATGCAGCTGGTTAACAGGGTGTGGTTGTTGTGTTGGTGACAGCTGCACCTTAAACACTGGGTCATGCAGCTCGTTAACTCAGGGGTGTGGTTGTTGTGTTGGCACGACAGCTTCACGCATAAACACTGGGTCATAGCTCGTTAACTCAGGGGTGTGATTTGTTTGTGATGGTGACAGCTTCTACACCTTAAACGCACTGGGTCATGCAGCTCGTTAACTTAGGGTGTGGTTGTTGTGTTGGCGACAGCTTCTGCACCCATAAACACTGGTCATGCAGCTCGTTAGCAGATGTGGTTGTTTTGTTGGCGACAGCTTCTGCACACCTTAAACACTGGGTCATGCAGCTCATTAACCAGGGTGTAGTTGTTGTGATGGTGGCAGCTACCACGTAAACACTGGGTCATGCAGCTCTCGTTAACATTGGTGACAGCTTCTACCTTAAAACTGGGTATGCAGCTCGTTAACCTTAGAATTAATGGTTGTTGTGATGGTGACAGCTTCTACCTTAAACACTGGGTCATGCAGCTCGTTGGCAGGGTGTGGTTCGTGTGTTGGTGACAGCTTCTACACCTTAAACACTGGGTCATGCAGCTCTCGTTAACCCAGGGTGTGGTTGTTGTGTTGGTGACGGCAACGAAAAAAAACTGCCGTGCTAGATGTATGGCCTCGTTAACTCAGGGTGTGCTGGTTGTTGTGTGATGGTGACAGCCACCACACCTTGGAAATTCACGCCTGGGTGGCCCCTTGGCAGGCCATCCTCGTTACACGAGGAGCAAATTATTATTATTATATGTTGTGGTGTAGTGTCAGGTTGTGTTAAGGCTTCTCGCAAATTCCCATATCCGGGTTATCTCACTTCCTTCAGCTGTTTGTATGGACGTGAGACACAGGTGAGACACAGGTGAGACACAGGTGAGACAGAGACACAGGTAAACGAGGTAGACAACTTTGTTTATGTCTCAACAGATGTAAACAATGCCTTCTGAATGCCTTGCAGGCGCTTTTTTTATGGTAGAGTTTGTAAAAAATCTCCAAGGCACTCTCACAACACACTGATCACAACACACCCATAAAACTGATCACAACACACTGGCTCACAAAACACTGGCTCACAACACTCTGCTCACAACACACTGGATCACAACACTCTGGCTCACAACACTCTGGCTCACAACACTCTGGGTCACAACACTCTGGATTACAACACACTGAATCACAACACTTGGGTCAAACACACTGGCTCACAACACACTGGGTCACAACACTCTGGGTCACAACACACTGGCTCACAACACACTGGGTCACAACACACTGGGTCACAACACACTGGCTCACAACACTCTGGGTCACAACACACTGGGTCACAACACACTGGGTCACAACACTTCACAACACTTGGGTCACAACACTTGTCACAACACTCTGGGTCCACTTACAACACACTGGCTACAAACACACTGGGTCACAAGACTTGGGTCACAACACTTGGATCACAACACACTGGGTCACAACACACTGGCTCACAACACTCTGGGTCACAAACACACTGAGTCACAACACACTGCTCACAACACACTGGGTCACAACACACTGAATCACACTCTGGGTCCAACACACTGGCTAAACACACTAACACACTGGGTCACAACACACTGAGTCACAACACTCTAGGCTCAACACTCTGGGTCCTAACACACTGGCTCACAACACTTGGGTCACAACACACTTGGTCACAACACTCTGGGTCACAACACTCTGGGTCACAACACTGGCTCACAACCTGGGTCACAACACACTGGATCACAACACACTGGCTCACAACACTCTGGGTCACAACACTCTGGTCACCACTCTGGGTCACAACACTCAAACTCTGGGTCACAACACACTGGGTCACAACACTCTGCTCACAACACTCGTCACAACACACTGGGTCACAACACACTGGGTCACAACACTCTGGATCACAACACTCTGGATCACAACACTCTGGGTCACAACACTGGGTCACAATACTCTGGGTCACAACACACTGGCCACACACTGGCTCACAACACTCTGGGTCACAACACTCTGGGTCACAACACTTGGATCACAACACCACAACACCACAACACACACAACACCCACAACACCCACAACACACCACAACACACTGTCACAACACACTGATCACAACACTTGGGTCACAACACTCTGGGTCACAACACCTGGGTCACAACACACTGGCTCACAACACACTGCCACAAACACACTAATCACAACACTTGGATCACAACACTTCTGGGTCACAACACACTGGGTCACAACACACTGATCACAAATACTCGTCACAACACTCGCTCACAACACCTAAGCCACAACAACTGGGTCACAACACACTGGCTCACAACACCACAACCTCTGGCTCACAACACTCTGGGTCACAACCTCTGGGTCATAGCCTCTGGGTCCACAACCTCTGTCTAGCACACTGGAGTCACAACACACTGGGTCACAACACACTGGGTCACAACACACTGGGTCCCTGCCTCTGGCTCACAACACTCTGGGTCTAGCACTCTAGGTCCCTGGCTGCTCTGGGTCTGTACACTGGGTCTAACACACTGGGTCCCACAACACTCTGGAATTCCCTAGCACACTGGGTCACAACACTCTGGGTCACAACTTGCTCTGGGTCACAACACTCTGGGTCACAACACACTGGATCACAACCCACCCAAACCCCCCACACACACCACACACACCCACCCCACACAAAACACCCACAACCACACACCCCACACCCACAACCCCAACACACCCACAACCCTCCTGACGGTCCCACAACCTCTGGGTCACACACACCTGGTCCACCAACACACTGGGTCAACACACACTGGGTTCACAACACACTGGATCCACCAACCTACTCTAACAACACACTGGGTCCACAACCTCTCAGCTCTAACACATAGCTCCCACAACACTGGATCCACAACCTCTGGCTCCACAACACAGATCTGCTGGGTCCCAACACTCTGGGTCCTAACCTCTGGGTACCCTCTGGGTGCCTCTGCCTGGGTCACAACACACTGGGTCACAACACATGGATCACAACACACTGGATCACAACACACTGCCCGGGTCCCCAGCACACTGGATCACAACCTCTGGGTCCACAACCTCTAGGTCACAACCTCTGGGTCACAACACACTGGGTCTACACTGAGTCTGGCACTCTGGGTCACAACACCTGGAGTCCCACTCTGGGTCACAACCTCTGGGTCCACAACCCCTCCCAGGTCACAACACTCTGGATCCACAACCTGCACTGGATCACAACACTCTGGGTCACAACACTGGCTCCCACAACCTCTGGGTCACCAACACTCTGGGTCACAGCACTCTGGAGTACAACCTCTGGGTCCACAACCTCTGGGTCCCACAACCTCTGCTGAAGGTCACAACACACTGGATCCCCAACACACTCTGGGTCCACAACACTCTGGGTCAGTACCTGGATCCTGGCTAGCCACTGGGTCACAACACTCTAGGTCACAACACTCTGGGTCCACAACCTCTGGAGTCACAACACTCTGGGTCAACCTCCTGGTCACAACCTCTGGGTCCACAACACACTGGGTCCCACAACCTCCTG